ATTGAAAACTGAATACAGCAAAATTTATCCTTCAGACAGTGGAATTACTAGAATAAATCAGACTAATGCTCTACAAAGCCCAGCAACTGATGTCAGACTGTGGTCAGTACTTAGCTGTGCTGAGACAGGATCTAGGAAACCCTGCTGCAGGAAATCTGAAGACGTTTTGGTCCCAAATAATCACCTGTTCTTTAAGTGTTAACTAATTCTGTGAGGAAGCATTATTTCCATTACATGTCATCTTTCTCTCTGCCCAGCCACCAAGTATGTAGAAGACTATTGTAAAGAGGAATTATTTTTAAGAGGACTATTGTGAAGGGAATTATTTCTTTTCCACATCCATGACAAGTACAAGCACAATAGTGGCTTTAAGTGAAAGTAGTGGGCTTAACCGGGCTAGACTTTAGGAGAAACTCTAACAGGATGGTAGATATTGGAATGGCCTCCTTGGGGAAACTGGAGGATCTCCATTGCTGAAGATCTTTCAGAAACAGTTAAATATTTGGTAGGAGTAAGGCAGCTATCATTTGTTGTATCGTGATGAAAGGAGTTGGACTTGACTTACAACAGGTCTTAGCAGCTCAGTTTTTATGATTATGTGTGATTATTTCCTTTTAGTTAGTTTATTTATTATTATGATGAGAGAACACATATTTATCTGATAATCTTAAATGCTGACTCTTTGTTCTTACGGTTGATCTTACTGTCAAGTCTGGCTGATAGCAATGCAATTCTATCTACATCTAGTACTTTACAAGTATACTTTGCAACAGTAGTCTGACACCAATTAAAGTGCTTATTAGGTTATCATGGACTTCAGTTAGCAGAGGTTATGTCCCCATAGAGATGAGAACTGACACCAAAATGTTGGTGCTTACCAGTTTCCTTAGAAAAGGAAAATTCAGTAGGAAAAATGTCATGGCAATTCATGTTAAAAAGAAATTCTCTCTGTCAGAAACCTTTCAGGAGTTTCAAATTTGGTTAGGGGATATCAAAAAGAAATTAAAGTCTAATTTAAAATCCCCACCCACAATCCTTCTTTTCCCACAAAGTGATTATTGCTTCTGGTCCACGCATTGGCAAATCTTTCAGAAATGAGCCATAATTTGCCTTAAAAATACCTTTCCAGTCATGATGGAACTGTTCTTTTTGAAGAATGGGTTTGCAGTGAGTCTGCAAAAAGAACCCAAATGCTCTTCTTCCGCAATGATGTCAGTGGGGCTAATATTTCACCCAGAAATTCTTTTTGGCATGAGGGCATTTGGGGTGGATAGCACATTTCAGAGCTGAGGCACCTGCCAGGTGAAGTTCTTGGACACTGCAAGGCAGCTGGCCAGGCTTGATCACAGTGTGCTCTGCTGCCTTTCACATTTATTTTCCACTTTCCTTGATGGCACCACATCCCTGCCTGGCATGGTTAATAAAGAGGAGAGAACGAATGTGTGGCCATAGCAAATTAAACAAATGAGCCATTAAAACAGGAGGGTGCACTGCCTCTTCTCACCAATGCCTACTTTGGTGCCCACAATGACTCCTAGCAAAATAACATGAGAGCAAGGATAAAGGGCTTTCAAGGATGTGCTGCAAACATGGTCCAAGTGCTGAGAGATGTCTGCGGCTCCTGCTGAGAGACAATTTAGTGTCATTCATCAGCAGAGAAGCCAGCAAACCACTAATGGCTTTCCATCGTGTTTCTTGACAGGTATTGACGGAGGGTGGTTTTGGTCCCATCACAACAGAAATCCGGGAGGCTCCGGAGTTTTATTACGCCGAAGATTACCATCAGCAGTACCTCAGTAAGAACCCCGGCGGATACTGTGGCCTCGGGGGAACAGGGCTTTCCTGCCCTTTTGGGATCAAGAAATAGCCTGTGCTTACTCCACCGCCTCCACTTTGGTTTAGGGAGTTTGAAAAAAGATCGACAACACTGATAAGTGTTACAGTAAGCACGCAGCATCAATGCATAAAGATTTGGGAACCTGTTGGGGTGGCTTTCCGTAATCTGAGCAGTTTCCCATTCACCAATGTTAAAAGACAAAGTTGAGGCAGATATTGAGCCTGTTGGCAAATGCAGCTTCTTGCTCTATGCAGCTCGCTGGGTTTCCTTGCAATCTTGTAATCTGGAGAGAAAAGAAACTTCTAAAAGTTTGGCTTGAACTTCTGTTAAAAGGATGAATTAGGAGGTGGTCGCACCTGATAACTGCTTTACATAGCTAATGCCTTCAGACATGTTTATTTTCTTGGGTTAATGAATTTGCTGGTGTTATGAGAGCTTTGACTTCTGAAGACATGGTTGGGCTCAGCTTAACTATCACAACTCTGTAATTTGATGTCTTTGAGAATGGTAAATTTATAAGATCAATAATTCTCTCACAATTCCACTTTCACAGCAACATGTAATATCACTTATGCTGCCTATTTTCTGAAACAGTTTTACTAAGAAGTAAAAATTGTAATGTGATGCTTCTTTCTGACAGTTCCAAAAAGTGTATAAACACAAAAAGAAATCAATCTTGTTTCCTGCATTACAATAAATTACAAAAAAAGAAAAATGTTGTCTGCGATGTGTTCCATGGCTCTAAGTATATATCTGGGTAGAACTAAAAAAAGTATCAAATATTATAAAAGGCTGCAGCCTGCTAATTAAACATCAGGGCTTTTAAATCTGTATTATCATGCATGACAGTACAGAGGAGTAGAATTCTTACTGGCCACACTGTAACATCATTATTCCTTTGATTAATTATTTGTACTTCAGTAGCTTGTGGATCCTCCACCAAGACCAGAGCTCATTGTGGCAGGTGCTGTGCAGACATATTATTGGGCAGTCTCTGCCCCAATGCATGTACAGTTAAAATAGGAGGACAGCCAGAAATAAGGAAATTAAATTTTCGTTTCATTGATGGAGTTCTCAGAGTGGAGACTAAAAGCTATAGCCAAAGGACACAGGGGATGCAGGGGTTATCCTATACGGATATGGGATCCTATGGGTTATATATGTGCTAAGGAGTATCCTAGGACAAACAGCTTCAGTAGGAGAGGTGGGATGGATTTGTCCCACCCATCCATCTTGCTGCTTGCAATACTTCTTAGAGCAGTGGGAGGTGTGGGCTTGAGCCTCTCATGTGTTTCCTATTTGGAGGCTGTCTTAATCATGAAGTTTGAAGAATGCATGTCATTGGTGTGTCCTCGTGCAGATGTGCTTTCTTCAGGGAAGCTTGTAGGAGCCCACTTTGATGTGTCAATTCTGGGCAACAGAGCACATAAAGCCATTTTTGAGGGCCATATGGTGGGGACCCAGAGACATAAATCCACAGCATTTCCTTTTGGATAGCTCTCCATGGCACTCCTCTCAATATCTTGATTTGATGTTTCCTGCTCACCAGCTCAGGTTTTAGGCTCAGAAAGGCTCAAAACAGCTCCCTGAACATCTCCTGTAACGACCCAGCAGACAGATCTTGTCCAAGCTTAGAGTGACTGAAAATGTGCACCAGATAGTCAGTCTTCGATCTTGTTAATCCACTGCTGAAGTCCTGCCTGCTTTATCCAAAGACAGGCAGTAAGCCCATGCCAGGTAAATTAGCTCCCCATCTTCCCTTGCTCCTCAGCTGATGCTTAGTTCATTCCAGTCTCAAAAGCCAGAGGAAACCTGTCCTTTTAGGAGATTTATACCTGGGGCAAACTTGAGGGGAGCTACCTCTGGCAGCATTGCCATGTTAGGCTCTTTCTGGAGATGCCCCAAAATATGCCCACATCACACTCAGAATTTCCAGTTGCTGTGGTAACTGATGGCCTGTCCTTCACGTGCTGTGCCACTGAGTTGTTCTAGTGCTCACTGTCAAGGAAACCAGCACTTTCATCTAATTTCCTAGGCATGAGGTGACAGAAAAGAAAAGAAGAGAGGAAAATAAAGTCTTACTTTCATCCTATCCATTTTTAACCTCTGCATAATTCAGACTTCAGTGGGATAACTCCTCATTTGCTCCAACATACGAGGCAAGACATTTCATATGCTGAATCATTTGGGTGCTCATAAAATGTGGCTTGGTTTCCTTCTGTTCCTTCCCCTCCCTCCCCTCCTACTCCACACTATAGTTACTGTTTTGAAACTAGCTGGAAAGTCTTTGGAGAAAGTACCATTCTGTCCTTAATATAGTCGGGCTCAAGTCTGAACCTGGCTGAGGTTTTTCTAAGTCCTGTCCTGATGGAAATAATGTGTCAGTTTAGATGGATCCATTGTTGCTGAAATTGGCCCACACCAAAATATTACGCCGCCACAGAATTAATTATGGAGTTAACTGTAGGGTGGAGTTTTGGCCTTAAACCCTTGCAGTTGCTGCTGAAGATACTGAAGTATCAGTATATTATCAGTAAAGATGAAATGTTAATGATTCAGCCTCATGGATTAGTGTTTTAAGCTGGATTTGGTCTTGTAAGCCACCCTTGCCCACAGGGAAGAAGGAAGTGGCTGCCTCAATACCTTTGATACTGTACTTTTGGTTTGGCACTGTTTGAGATCTACCCTACCACAGAGCTGCCTCTTTCTTCTAAAAACATAGACAAGGTCTAAATGAGAGAAGAGAAAATTAATTCAGAGTTTGATAGGCTTCAGCACTTCTCAGAGTCAAAGACGATATCTGATGCAGGACCAGCATCTAAGGCCTTCGGAGAGAAGAACATGGTTCAAGATCCAAAGAGGGCTACAGCACCCAACTCCTGATGTCCACTGTTGCAATACCCTGTGCAAGTCAGTCCAGGATACAGACAGGAATTTCACTGCTGCCCTATCCCTATCATAGCTAAAGCAAATCCCAAGCCTCTTGGAAATCACCTCATCATCTTAGGAAGGCAATGTCAACAGAAACAAATGGATTGTGTGATGTCACATCCTGGTTGCCCTGGCAGAGAGACGCTGCCTTTGGTGAGAACATGGATTGGGGAAGATGTCCTGAGGTGTCTGCAGAAGCATCACTGCTCTGAATGTTGTTGAAGAGTGTTAGTCCAAGACTGGGATTGAAATGCTGCTCCTTACCCTCTTTTGTTTAACTTCTCTGATCAGAAGCATCAATGCAGGTTTTTCTTCTCAACATTTTATGTTCAGAAATGACCAGCAGAGTGGAACTGCTCACAGCCCTACAGGATATACACGTATTGGTAAATGAAACAGGCCTGGGCTTACTCCTTGTACCCGATGGCATATACGTGTGGCTTGTAGTACAGCCCGATACTGAACTCTTCCACTAATACAGTCCCTAAACAAGGATTTTATCCAGCCTGCCTGTGGGAAACGGTCTATGGCCCTGCTATCCCTCAAACTGCTTGGGCATTGCTTGGCAGAGTGCAGGTTTGGGGAGGCTACAGTCATGCCAAGGGCTTTCGTAGAGATCAAGTAGCATGGATAATCACAGACGAGTGCTTTAGCTGATGTCCTGCCCCTCTAGCTGAGTAGCACAGTCAGTGACACTGCTGTACGTGAGCAATGCGTCTCATTTTGCACCCAGAGTGTGGCCTCCGGCCATCTTATGAGTCCTTTCTGGAGACTGGCAAGAAGATCACAGCGGGGAGATACGCCAAGGCTGGGGAGTTCCCGTGGCATGTGAGCATCCAGAGCAATGGGAAACATATCTGCGGGGGCACCATGATCAGCGCATTGTGGATTTTAACTGCGGCCCATTGCTTTGCAGAAGACGTGTGAGTACTCGGGGGAAGCAAGGACAGCCCGGGCACAGTGGGCTCATAACATCGCTCCTTGTAGGTATAGGATATGTATGTTCCTGGGATCAAGTGCAACATATATGTGACTGAGCCAGAGAGAGAGCCCTGAAAACAGGAATTGTCTCCTTTGGTGAAAACAGGCCCATTTTTGATCAGAGATAGTGTTACAACAGACCTGTGTAGAAATCTGCATAATCAGGAGGTGCAGAAGGGGAATATTTTGAAGGATGGTCTGAGCAGCCTTGTATAAATGCCCATGGTGCTGTTCTGATGGCCCCAAGCATCTATGCATGTTGCAGGACCTTGTAAAAAGGGATGTATTCCATTCCAGCTTATTCTAACCCCAAAATTACCTTTGCTTTCACATAGAAAACACCTTCACTTCATGGATAGTCTGATGTTAAACAGCAGTTTCTCGATAAATCAACCCCATACAATGCCCAGGGGCAGAGTCCAGCGCTCTGTGAGCCCTCTCCAAAATTCGGCAGGTGCGAGAGCAGAGACTGCTTGGTGACAAATGACCTGTGGCACCAGAACCTGGAGCAGCTGGCCAGAGGCAGCATGGTCCAGAGCAGCCAGCCCAGGGCACAGTGATCCCAAAGATCCAGCCCACTCCATCTGTTTGCTAGCAGCTGCGCTATTTATAGAGTTATAGAATAGTTTGGGTTGGAAAGGACCTTTAAAAGTCATCTACTCCAACCCCCCTGCAATAAGCAGGGACATCTTCAACTAGAGCAGGTGGAATCCCCTCCCTCAACCTGCTGGCCATGCGTCTTTGGATGCAGCCCAGGATATGGTTGCCTTTCTGGGCTACAAGCGCACATTGCCGGGTCTTGCAAGCTTCTAATCAACCAGGACCCCCAAGTCATTCTCAGCAAGGCTGTCCTCAATCCATTCTCTGCCCAGCCTGCGTTTGTGCTTGGGATTGCCCTGACCCAGGGGCACTTGACCCTGTTGAACTTCATGACGTTCGCATGGGCCTGTTCATTGAGCCTGTCCAGGTCCCTCTGGATGGCATCTCATCCCTCAGGCATGTCGACCACACCACTCAGCTCGGTGTTGGCAAACTTGCTGAGGGTGCACTCGATCCCACTGTCTATGTCCCCAACAAAGATGTTAAACAGCACTGGTCCCAATACTGACCCCTGAGTAACGCCACTTGTCACTGGTCTCCATCTGGACATTGAGCCATTGACCACTACCCTCTGAATGCGACCATCCAACCAATTCCTCATCCACTCAACAGTCCACCCATCAAATCCCTATTTCTCCAATTCGGAGAGCAGGATGTTGTGGGGTACTGTGTCAAAGGCCTTGAAGAATTCCTTTGGAATTCTTTTGTGTTGCTCTTCAGGTGCTCTCCTGCTGACCTGAGATCCTCTCCAGGCTCTGGGCATCTATTGCTGGCATTGGCATCAAACTGGTAGGCGTGGGATGGATTGAGGTTCCCCTCCCTTGGCAACTTTAGTTTAAAGCCCTCTTCACCAGCTTGGCAAGCCTGTGACCAAAGATGCTCTTCCCCTTTCTACAGGTTGAATAACCCCAATTCTCTCAGCCTTTCTTCACAGGAGAGGTGTTCCATCCCTCTGATCATTTTGGGTTTTTTTATAACTTGGTTGGGTTCATGTTCTGCCTCTGCACCTCTCTCTCCTGAAAATTAGCTTTGCCTAGAAGTGAGGGTAGATTTCTGTGATACTTATAACTAAACTTCCTCTGCAATTTGCTGAGCACCACCCTACCCTGCTGAGGGGCAGGAGGCACCAACCTTTATAACACAAAACCTTCATGTTTGCTTATGTATACACTGCTTCTCTTTTGTTTTTAAGGCCACCAGATCTCACTGTTGTGGTGGGGGGAATTGACCTCAACCTCCCGCTGGAAGAACATAAGCCGGACAGCTTGATCCTCCACAAAAACTTTGACAGAATGAGCATGCAAAATGACATCGCTCTGATCCTGCTCAGCTCTCCCATCGAGTTCAGCAATGAGAAAATCCCCATCTGCTTGCCCTTCATATATGACATCAATACGTGGCAACACTGCTGGATTTCTGGGTGGGGAACCACAGCTGCAGGTGAGATGCTGCCAGGAGATGTTTTTGCTAATGGAGGCCGTTTTTTATCCATGTAAAGTAGATGTTCTCTCCCACGAGCAGTTACCCATGTTAACTTCCACTCTGCATGTCCACCAGTTCTGTGTTCAGTGCAAGAAGCTGTCACCTACTGACTCACAGAGCAAAGTCCCTGGTACTCTGAGCGTGCACGTTCAAGCTGAAGCCTTAGAGCCCACCTTCGCTCTGCAGGAACTCAACTTCTTGTTTGCCTTTTTTGGCACCCAAAGACGAGCTCCACCCTGGTGGGCAAGTTAGGCTGTGTCTGAAGTGGTCTGGAATAAGGGAAATGGAGGTGTAGGGTTGTCTTTGGCTTAATGCCAAACCAGATTGATTCAATGGTACTGGCTACCCCTCTTCTTCATTCATTTAGAATGGCAGATTGCTGTTGCTAATTGCTCTCCTTTAAGCCCTAATGAAAGTAGCTCCAATACTGATTGTGACCCAAAATGTCTATCCTGGACAAATGTCGCTAAACGGCTAATGGAAAGAGGTCATGGGGACAGAGTGGGCAGGGTGGTGCCTTGGAGCTTTAGCAGTCCTTCCTAGGATGTAGTAAGTGAATGTCCCAATTAATCCTTGCTACTCCACCCCGTAGGGTTACTGTCTCCTCTCTGAACCTCTGCATTTTCCTTCTTAGGCTTCATTTGCCTCGTGTAACAGTAATACGCAACACAACACTGTGTTATAGTTGTGAAACTCTCCCATTTCACCAAGGTAATGTGCTTTTAGAAACAGAAAAGCAGGGGGCTGCTGCAGAGTTAGTCTGCAGCTTGGCAGCATTTCTCTTTAGCCGGTGTCTTTGCAAAATGCATGGTGTGGCTCTGGAGATCAGTCTCATGCTGCTGTGTGGGCTCAGTTGACATTGCTTCTGCTCTCCAAATTGTACCCTGTAGGAGGTCAATACGCTCATCCCTGGCACACACCCCTTCTGCCTGGGAGATTTCAGAAGAAAAACAGCAGACGTTGAGTTTGGTGAGAGGAATGGGTGTGATACGGCCCATACCAAAAAGTATGAGGCGTTGTTCCTTGGCGGGGGAAAATGTGTCATTTCTCATCTCTGTCAATATTTTGTACGTGGACATCTCTCAACTGGCACCTCAGGTGGCACTAGCCTGTCTTGCCTTCAACTGCAGTCAATTAGACCTCACGTGGAGCCACCTCCTTGGAGATGCCTCTTAATCTGTGGGCACTTCCATGGAGTGGCCCCATGTTAGCTGGGAAAGTGACTTGATATTTTTTAGATCATAGAATCATAGAATCATAGAATGATTTGGTTTGGAAAGGACCTTTAAAGGTCACCTAGTCCAACCCCCCTGCAATGAGCTGTTCAACCTGACCTTGAATGTTTCTTACCTTTAAGTCCCACCTTCCTTCCCAAAGGCACCAAGACCATTTAGCTCAGTAAAATATGGAAGGAGTAAGGTTCTGAAAACCCGTAGGTCTCCTCCCCAGCATCAACATCCCTCAAGAGTCAGTTTTATCCTTCAGACTCAGATTCACTTTGAGGAGAAATGTGGGTGAAATGCGTGGGTTTTCCAAGTAGTCCTGCATATTTTCAGTCTTTTTGTCACTTGGTCGTGCCCGCTGCAATTTCTGTTTTTCCATCTTATGGGAAGAAGTTATTTACATTGTGTACTGCCATCCTGAAAGCCACTTTCTGAAATATATAGCTGGTCCCCTAGGTGAGGCACAGCCTTGCAGCCCCCTGTGAAAGCATGGGGATAACAGGATCATCTGGGCTGGGGAAAGTTCAGTGGACTTTCCTCTGCAGGGCTCTCACAGGACCCTATGAAGAATCCCTCAAACAGTTCCCCAGCAACATGAGTGAGAAACCCAAGCAGTGCAGTGCCACTTGTCTCAGGTGATCATCAAGACCACCAGGATAAGCCATCCCTTTGGGGATCTTCCAGCTGTACCAGTGTTCATCTACAAGAATAAGGATTTTATAAAATCCTATTTAGCAAGCCTCCACTCCCCAGGATTTCAGCTTTGCCTGTTAGCACCTCCCCCCTCTCACCTACCTACCCACCTCCTAGGCTGGCATAAAGTCAAAAGCACACACTTAGCTTTGCCAACATTTGGACAACCCCTGTAAGTCCCCATGACCCCAAGACCACACAGTCGTGCCCTGAGACTCTCTTGCCCTGAGATGCTTTACAAATTCAGCTGGGAGCAGTCCCAAGGGCTACTCTCCCGCTGTGGTTCCACCCTTACAAGTCTGTGCCGTTCCGCAGGGTTTGTTAATCGTTCTTTTCTCACTTGCTGGTTAGCAGTTGGGGTGCCAGCATCCCACGTGCTGCAGAAAGCACGGATGAAGCTCATCAGCAGGGAGCAGTGCTTGGAGCGGATCCCGCAGCTAGTGGAGAACGTGCTGTGTGCTGAGCTGGAGAGAGGAGAAAGAGGCACCTGCCAGGTAAAGTAGACGGGCTCCCGGATGGCCACGCTGCCTATAGGGGCACAGAGACATTGGAGGAGAAGCACCTTGACTTGAGGAATGAACATTGATCCCTGCTGGGGTTGCTAAAGCTTCTCTGCAGGTTGCCCAGGTGCCAAGGAACTACCTGCAAAGGCATATTGACCCAGGCAGCAGGGGTGCAAGACTCTTGGGGTCGGAAAGCAGTGGTGGTGCTGGACATGAATCACCTTGTTGAGTGGATGAGCCTCTCCTCACACTCTCCTCCCTGCCCTGATTCCCTCCCTTCAGCGAGAGAGACAGGAGGTCTGCAAGGGCAACTGCGAGCTGAAAGGAGGGCAAGGGAAAAGGGTGGTTCCCAACAAGTCCATTTGGATAGGAGAGAGTTTTGGATGGCTCCAGGCACCAGGTTTTGGACTCTTATCTCACAATAATTTAAAAATCCAGTGTCTGCTGTGGCCAAGCTGTGAAGTGGTGGGAGAGATCGGAGGAGAGGTCTCGCATCCCTGCAGAGAGGGCTCAGCTCAGCATGGGCTGTGCCCTCCTGCCTGGTGTCCCCTTGTCCCTGGGCCAGGCAGCGCTACTCTATCACCAGGTTAAATACTGAAAGAGGACAGGAAAGTTTGTCCAGGAGGGTAAAAGTAATATAATTGGCAGAGAAGTTTAATCCAGGAGTGTTTAATGTGAATATTAGAAACCTTTCTCAGGTGAGGTCTTGTCTCTGATCCAGATGTACTTTGCTAACATGGCAGGTTGGTCTATGCCAGAACTACTCAGATCTTATTGCAGTGAGTTAGTGATATAGGATGACGGACTTTTCAAGCTAAATTAGAAAGAATTCGAGTGGTATTTAATATCAAGGACTGCTAAGGGGAGAGAGCTGACACAAACACCCAAATGTGGGAAAACCTCACTCAGAACTTGTGTCCTCAGAACATGCTCCACCCACAGCATTGCTGTCCTGATGTCAAACAAAGTCTGAAAGCCAAAAACCACCTTTTTTTTTTCATAGCATCCACCCCCCAACCCCTCCTCCGACAGCCTGGTAAGGACTGGGCTCTCCTGCAGCCTCTGCTTCAGGACTAAGGTCTCCCTCCTCCACCGGGCAAGGGTTTTCTTAGACATGTGCATATGTTTGCAGGGGGATGGATGGGCAGAGACGTGTCTGCACAGCTTCATCCTGTAGGAATCATTCATTGAGGGAACTAAAACACCCAGGACAGAGAGATACCACCTGCCCTTTAGGCAAAGGCAGCAGGTACAGGGACCGCTGACTGCGAAGCCATTGTGAGCTGGGCCCATAGCTGGGCAGCGGAGGGGAAGTTTGTTTGGCAAAATCATTTTTTGATTAGCCAGAGAGCATCTGTCTCTGAAACCATTCATCTAGTAACTTTCACCTCCATTAAATCCAATCAAAACTTTAAAAAAGAAAACTGCCACAGGATAACATTAACATGATTAAAGAATGCACTTCCCAGCCCAGCCTTAAGTTCTGCGGCTGAATTATGCTGGTGAAACTGCAAGAGCACTTGTACCCAGCAAAATGAATCTCCTGTATTCAGAAAGCTGATGAGGGTGCTATTTTGATCTACAATAATGTTAGAGTTGTCTGAGACATGAACTAGAAATGTGAGCTTTCCAAACAATTGGAAGTACAGAACAATTGCATGTGTGATAATGCACATAACCCAGCAACTGCCCACTTTTAGTGGAAGCTTGTCTAGGCAGAAACATCTTGCAAGCTGAAATACTGTAGGCTAGTGGAGGTCTTCAGGAGAGAAACAGGTGATAGGACTTTTCATCAGAATTTTCTAATTTGCTGGAGGGGAAGCATTTTGCTGATGGGTGGTTTTCTGGGAAGCACTGGTTGAAGTAGGGGAGGACACATTTTGGCCTTGCTAGGCTGGTTCAGAAGTCTGGTGGCTTGCCCATAGTAGGCTGCCTGGCAATGCACTGGGAGGCCAGGTCCATTGCTCTGATGCACGGACTACTGGACACCCAATTCACCTGCCCTGGGCAGGTAGCAAGGCACACTGTAGAGCTACACTTGTCTGTAAAGATTATGGGGTTTGTGTCAAATGAGAATGAGGCCCGATTTCAAAATACCTAAATCCCTTACAAAGTCAGCATTGTCAAGGAGGTAGAGCAGCCCTGGGCACCGTTTTTGTCTATGCCAACAAGCTGTCTCCTGGATGATTTCCAGACACAGCTCAAGCTTTTGCATGGGTCAGGAGCCACCCACAACAGAACCACAGAATCATAGAATAGCTTGGGTTGGAAGGGAACTTCAAAGGCCATCTAGTCCAACCCCCCTGCAGTGAGCAGGGACATTTTCAAATAGAGCAGGTTGCTCAGAGCTCCGTCCAACCTGACCTGGGATGTTTCCAGGGATGGGACAGGTTCACTTTGGATCCTGGCACCCCTTAGAGGCCAGGAAGGAGCAGCAGCACAGGCAAGGCAGAGACCCCTGCTCAGGGAACAAGCCCTAGAGACACTGAGCTTGCTGGTGGAGAAGTGGTCACAGCAAACTTGGAAACCATGCACTGCACAGATACATGACCCATCTAGCCATGAAGTAGATAAAAGCCTTATGTTAACTTTTTCTGAGCTTTTCTGAGAATCAGGATACATTTGTTCATGCCGAAAGCCAGGCTAAGTTGGGCAAGTTGCATCTAGACCTAAGGTTCTCAGTCCCCATGATCCTGATCCAGATCCAAACGGTTACCATCCTAGGTCTTTGCACTGTGTGCCATTTGTGTGCTAGGTTTTCCCTGTTGCAGCAAGCAGTTTTCTATGAGTAATTATATCCACACAGAAGTCTTCACCAAGACGTCATGTAGAAATTCTATTCTACTGACCACTGCCTTAATACCCCCATGTGGCAACAGGACATGGATAGAAAGGTTCAGACATTTCACCAGCTGCCTTCATAGTAGTACCAGACAAGACTAATTTGTGGATCTCTGACCATATTCCAATAATAAGTCAAGGAGATTGAATAGCAGAGCTCCCGAGTATTTGTACTTAAAAAAAAATCCATTCACTTAAAAGGAAAAATCTATTGTATACCAATTCCCCAGAGGTTCTGCAGACAAATATATAGATTGACTGTGAAATAACACTAACAGGATCTGTAATTGCCTCATAGTTCTATTTAGTCATAAACATTAGCATTAATGGATGTTCATGGGGTACAAGTGCTAAAGAACAGACACTAGAGATGGCCTATGTGTTATTTTTTTGTGTGCTACATTTCTTCCACGATCCCATGAACCACAATTAATGTCTAATTCCTTGCTTTCTTAATCATCGTTTGTTAGGCTTTGATGCAATGGTAACTTGAACTATAATTCGAGTATAAGGGCACTCACAAAGCAAATGCCTCTTCAGTGTCTTGCCTATCCAGACAAAACTCAGTAAATGGCCCGATTATAGTTCAGAGAGCCTCTGCAAAGGAGGTCTGTGGGGGTAGCGCTGCGACTGGTGATTAGGACAGGGGTGTTCACCTGGAAGTCACAGTCCGTGTACAGTTCAGGTCAGCAGCAGGTGAAGCGGGGAGCCAGTCCCCAGTCTGACTTTCAGGGGAAGGAATCCTTGTGTGGCCATAAACAAGCAGTGGGATGGTTCCAGCTCAGCTTCACTGTGCCCTACAGCATCGCCGGCTGTAGGGCTGATCTGAGTCATGGGCTGAAGGTATCTACCCCCTTCTACCGATTGTAGCAGGAGGTGGTCTTGGCCATCTCTGATAAATGTCTGAAATGATGCTAGGATGCATCTAGGGTTCTACGGTTTTAGTTTCTTTAGTTCTGTGAAAAAGGCAGAGAAGGACCTCTTTCCTTCACCTGTAATATGTCAGGCCCACATATACTGTCAGCCATTTGGAAAGGGCAAACGCGCTGGGATAACGCGCTTTCTGGTTGACAGCCGGCTGAACATGAGCCGGCAGTGTTCCCAGGTGGCCAAGAAGGCCAACAGCGTCCTGGCCTGTATCAGGAATAGTGTGGCCAGCAGGAGCAGGGAAGTGATTGTGCCCCTGCACTCGGCACTGGTGAGGCCGCACCTCAAATGCTGTGTTCAGTGTTGGGCCCCTCACTACAAGAAGGACGTTGAGGTGCTGGAGCGTGTCCAGAGAAGGGCAACGGAGCTGGGGAGGGGTCTGGAGCACAAGTCTGATGAGGAGCGGCTGAGGGAACTGGGGGTGTTCAGTCTGGAGAAGAGGAGGCTGAGGGGAGACCTTATCGCTCTCTACAACTGCCTGAAAGGGGGTTGTGGTGAGGTGGGTGTTGGTCTCTTCTCCCAAGTAACTAGCAATAGGACAAGAGGAAATGGCCTCAAGTTGCGCCAGGGGAGGTTTAGATTGGATATTAGGAAAAATTTCTTCACTGAGAGGGTGGTCAGGCATTGGAACAGGCTGCCCAGGGAGGTGGTGGAGTCACCATCTCTGGAAGTGTTCAAGAAACGTGTGGATGTGGTGCTTCAGGACATGGTCTAGGGGACATGGTGGCGCTGGATTAATGGTTGGACTTGGTGATCTTGAAGGTCCTTTCCAACCTAGTGTTTCTGTGATTCTGTGATTCTGTGATAATCCTGCTCGTGGATGCTCTCACTCCTCACAGCGACAGCAGTAGCAGTAGTTGTTGTACAACCCTGAGTGGGATTTATCCAGCCAGATTCAAATGTCTTCCCTATAGGCATCTGCATCAACTGAATCATCTGTTCATCAACAGGGAGAAAAAAAAAATTTCTGACATGTAATTCATTGAGACTATTTTAACCATCTATTTTAAAATGAGATGAATCCCTGCGCAAGTGCTTATTGCTCCCCGTTAAGTAAAAGCAAGTCCAGGATGTCCAGCTCACAGGGAGACACATGGCTCCAAGGCAGGACAGTTGCCTGCACCTAAGGCTCCAGTGCTATTTTAGATATGACAGGATATCCCCCTGGCTTCCCACTGCCCCATCTCAAACCATGTCCCAGTCCCAGTGATGTGACTGCAATG